TAAACCTTTCTTGCAATGAGTTACCTCTTCCCTAATATTCTGCCTTTATTTAACAAAAGAATTATAGCAGTGCAAAGTTTTTAGCTCTCAAGGTCAGATTCCACAACTGTTAAACAAATCCCTTATAAAGTTTACAATGTTGCTTATTTTATAGTCTAAGCAGATATTTTATTATCAGATAAGAGGATATATTACAGAAATTGAGCCAAATATTCATAACATTCATGATACTATCCTTTGCCTTATCTCCAAACCAAATGAGGTCGAAGTTCTACACCAAATTTATTTGCTTTCTAGCAATAACCTAAATTTCATCTTGGTGTCCAGTACTAGAGGAACTGTGCTTTGACCTGCCACCTGATTTGTAGTTACTACTATTCATCTATGAGAACACTGGGCCAGACCATGTCAGACTTCATCATAAGACAAAAGGAATGATTAAAAAACTTCTGAGTAGAGCGGTTTAAGAGTCTATTCTTAATTAAAATAGGGAAAGTGAGAAAACAGTCTTTCTTGTTTACTCCTTTTACAATCTTGTATCAAAGCCATTTGTGTGACTTCTGAACTGTTCCTCACTTAATAGAGGATGGTGTGTGGTGGAAGACTTGAAGAAGAAAAATATGCATAAGAGAACAGGCACTATATTTGAAAGTCTGAGAGAGCTGTGAGTCCAAATCCCTTTGATTTCTTTATAAATTCCAGAATCTATCTTCCATATGCAAATATAATACTGCATAAGAACATGCTGTGGCAATATAGGCTCAAGTCTGAAACATTCAGAAAGTCTTTTCCTTTGGAGGACCAAAGCAATTCTTGGTACAGGTGGTGAGGTATGTGATCTACACAACTTACTTAAGTAGCTACATCATTAAAGTGTACAGGGAATGGAAGAGTTACAGCTAGGTGTAGAAATGTGGACAGAAGTTGGTAGCTGAGCTGGCTTTTGTGATATTTTACAGCTTTTGGTGATGAAACACTCTGCTATTTAGTACTACAATTCTTCTGTCTTTATTAATACACAAGCTAACACTGCAACTGGAAACTCCTCAGTTAAGATAATAACTTATGTTTTTGAAAGGTGGGACAAGAGAACAGAGAAAGCTAAAATGATCAAAGGATGGCAGCTTCCAGCATCCTCCATGGACTTAAGCTATGCTGTGTTCTCCAACAGGTCCTCATCATCACCTGAGATACTCAAAAAGGGACACTTTGGGGTCAAAATTTCAGTCATCAATCATATCATGGTTACTGTTTGACCCAGTGTGCTTCTAGCTGAAGCACAGGAGATAAAAGGGAGCGTATGTGAAATACTGTCACCATCACTGTGTCCCAAAGTTCGCAGCCAGAACAAAGAAAGGCACTTGATCAACCCAGTGTTCAGGCAGGAGCTCAGTTCTGTGAGGTGCCTTAAACTCCTGCTGAACTAAATCTGAACCTCCTGAGAAACCTTTGATATCTCAGAAGGGGTATGGATCTGAATCCATAACAAAAATCTCCAATCTTTAAGTTCTGTTGGCCTCAAAGTTCTCTGCTGGCTGCTGCTGAGAATGAGGTGCTTCTAAGTGAGAAAATCCAGTGCTCACATTGCGTCCCACACTACTGTACCAATGAAAGACATCAGCTCCACTTCCCAGGCTCCCAGTAGAAGCAGATGTGCTTCCCATAAGACCCTCAATCTGTCATCCAGAAATAGCATCCCAGATCCACAATAAAATGCAAGAACTACACATACAGTTCACCAGGGGAAGGGGAAGGAAAATCTCCTGCAAACTTTTAAGAAAAACAAGACCCTGCTCCATAAAGGTTTTTTGAGTTTGTCTCAGGCTGTGCAACCTAAATATTTGCAATGTTTCCCATATTTTTACAAGAAATACTGCTAATACTGAGGGAATTTGAAACGCTTATCTAAGCCAAGAACAGAAAGTTTTTAGTGGCAACCAGTAATAATCACTTGCATATAAATACAGAAAGCATTTTCCAATACGCCATGGACACAAGCACAGCTGCAGGTATCTGTCATTGGGCAGCCCCCTGCCACAGTCATACTGCAAATACAGCAACCAGAGAGGGGGACAGCACCTTTTCAGACATGCTGCATGTTTATACAAGAGCACTTCTGATCTTGAAGGCACTGCTTTTAGTTTTTAATTCACTGGCTTCTGTGCTCATTTGTGCTACCTTCCACTAAGGTGCAAGATTGTGCAGATATGAGAGCAAGAAAGAGATCAGTTAAAAAGACAGAAATTCAATGGTGTTGCATCTAGCAAACAGGCAATGGTGAGCAGTAGTTAGATTCTCTCTTTTTTTTTTTTTTTAATTTAAACTGAATTTAATTGTTAAAGTGTGGGTCTACAGAAATTCTGACAGAGAAAGACATTTGCCCAGAACTTCTCAGACGTCTTCCTCTTTTGAAACTACTGTCTTTGCTTCTGCTCGGGCAGAAAAAAAAACAGTTCTTCACACAGGAAGGTACAATTTCATGGTCTGTACTGTTCTTCAGTTAACTGCAAACACAGAATTCAACCAAGAATGCGTGGAGCAGAGCTCTTTTTTCAAGTCTGCATATGCCAACCAAGTTCATATGGGCAAACAAGAAGCAAGAGTCCTACCTTGAACTTGAAAAATCTGCTTTCTCTTAAGCCATAAAACGCAGCTGCCATCAGAAACAGACCCAATTGCTTTTTCTTTTTCTCTTTCCAGGGCAAGCAAATCTATTTCCTGTTACAGCCTGTACTTAAAGTTTAATTCTATCTTATGACTTAAAGACTAAAATATTTGAGAACCACTGAGATTTTTCCACCCGTTTAAAAGGGGAAAAAATAAAACTAGAAACAGATGTTTTATAATGTATTTCATTTATTTTGGCCACCCATAAAGCTGTGGCTTATGTTAATGCCAACTAAGTTAAAAGCAACAGAGTTCTGCAATGCATTTTAGAATGACCGGGCATGGGAAGTACCTTTCTATAAACTTCTATTTAGTAAGTAATTTTTTATGTCAGAAAATGGGCATAGGAATTACTGAAGATGTGAGTGGCACTGCCATACTTGGGTAGTATCCCTCCAGGGATGTGCAAAGCTCTCCTACGTTGTTATACCCCACTGCATAGCCTGGAAAGCAGTTGACCAATGTATATACAGGAAACAGATGGGTTGGATGAAATTTAAACAACTGAGGACAATGTCCTTAGAACAACACCATGTAAATAACAGTCAGTATGTTTATACTGCATCTCAAACAATTATTGCAGAGACATTTAACAGCGAAAGCGGAAGATTTTCTTCTTATTCATATTCATATTCTTATTCAAACAATCAGCAGACTTGGGCTAGCACAAACCTTTCACTTTCTTCGGTGTTCATGATTGGAAGCAAAAGCATTTCAGAAGTGAAACTCATGGGGCTCCTCACAGCTGCAGTGGTACTTACTGATAAAGGTACCTTATAGAACTTAAGGTGAAAATAGTTATGTTGAAATTTCTCCTGTACCTATTCTTATTTAGACTGACAAATCACTGCTGAACAACAGACCCACTTTAGCAGAACACCTTCAGCAAAGTACTGCAGCTTAGGGACAGAAGGAGCAACAAAGAACAATTGGTCTCAAAATATTTCTTTATTGACAATTTGCTGCAAAAAACACCGGGCTTATAATGTGGATATGATTTACCAACCTGCCTAAAACATAGGAAAAGCATAAGGACAATGGCTGTATTTTAAGACAGAACATCATTAAGTTTTAAATAATTTTTCTCAGCTTTTTTCTCAGCTTGCTATCTGAATATTCAAAGAAAATATTTTCCCCTTTACTCCTCAGAAGAGATGCAAAAAAGTGAACTGCAGAAGTTAATTAGAAAGTAATAAAATATGAAAGCTTAGCAATTCAGTACAGCAACCAGCAGCACAGACTTTGACCACAACCACAGAAGCAGATTCTTAGAATAAAAGCTTCTAATACAAAATATCTTTTTAATTAAATATCAATACAATTATTTTGAGCTAATAATAAAATATGAACTTCATTATTATCAAACCAAGTGCAAATACAGAAAACTCACTTTAATTCAGGGGCAAGCTAAAAGCAGTTTAAAAGCAAAATATCCTTAAGAAGTATTTCTCCAGGCAAATCAGTTTATCCATCATTTGACACACTCATTTGAACTTGAAAAAGCCAGAAAGCTGAAAGTAGCTCCCCAGTATGTTGACTGAGGACTGTAATTCATCTAAATTATGCAACTGGATTCCCACAGCTGGCCCACAGCTTGGCTTAGAGCTCAATTCAACGCCAATGATCCTGTCTGCTAATATTGTCCTACTCTCAGAGAAGGTAATACATTCAGCGACTTATATTGAAGTTCTGACACTAATTAACAGAACAAGCAAATGCTGACATGAGTGACAAATGCTGGTTCATAGTTACTGCGAGACCAGTGCTGCCAGCTGGCATTTTCTGTAACACTTTGCAGTAATAATCTCTTGTTTATTTCTTAGAACATTGCTTATAATTTGTTTGTATGCATTTTGTTTTCAGTTAGAAACAAATCGGGACACAAATGCAAAACCAGGAACAGCAACGAGACCCCGATTCCCAGACAAGTAATCAACAAGAAAGCATGCAAGCAGCATCACCTGGGCGATGCATGGGGACCACAGTATAGGAATTCTTATCCTATATATAAGGCTATGTAGCTTTGCACAAACAGCCTTTGGCTTCTTGTCTCTGGCCTACCTGGACAGTAGCAAAACATGTTTATCAGATATACAAGCTCAGAACCTGAGCAGCAAGCAGTTAAAAACTGAAGGTCACTATGCTGCAAAATTAAAACATGCTTCTATGCTTTAGCAATACAGACAACGATAAAACAAAGCCTCCACAACCACCTGTAATAATATGCTTGTTCAGCCAGCAATTCCAAAGTACTCAGCAAGACAAGGTAGACATTTTCTGCAGCTGGTTTTACATGTACATTCCTGCCAAATTGTTGTCTCGTCTCCTCTTACCTTCACATTAGTCCGGAGTGCACAGTAACATGCAAAAAACATTGCAGTAAACAAGGAGCATATGGACCAGTATTCAGCGTCTCTGCTCTGCACAAACGGTACACACACGATCCCGAGCATGTGCTACTAAGGAGCATCCGTTCCCTCTGTCAGTTTGAAAATGCATTGATCTCTGTTTTTCTGACTACAAAAAGACATGTCTTGAAGGCACTGAGTGAAAGCTACATAGCTCTTCGTCGACTATATATAGCAAGGTGCCCAGTAATTTCAATTAGCAGAGAATTCAGCAGCTGAAACTTGGACCTCAGTTGCTTTTCCTTCCAGCATTTTAAATTCGGGGGGAAAAAGGAGGGGGAACTCACCCAGAGGGGAAAGGTGAGGAATTAAAATGTAAGCAGCAAGTTGCTTATATTTCCCCCTGGCTTTGATGTCTTCTTTTCAATATTTTACAAACGTTATACATGGGAAATGAATAAAGGTTTCTCTGCCAATTCTGAAATTTACTGTAGATTCTGCACTGTTTCTGTCCGGTCTTGTTAAAGATGCAGCATCCCTTTTAAGAAAGACAACGTCATCAATCATGACAGATTCAACATGTTCTACTTACAAATACTGTCTCTGATTAAGGACAATGGCTGGTTGCCTTATTAACGTTTCCTCAAATGCAAGTTCAGTCCCCTGTGCTAATCTATTTTTAAATAAAAAGTCCCACCTACTCCTTCACTCTCATTTAATAAAAATGCAGTGGACTACTTCTAAAGATCCTGAATTGCATTGTGCTCCAAGCTGAGACTCTGGACATCGGTTCCAAACCACTGGCTTTCTTTCTGGGATTAGAAACACAGAGGGAAAATTAAAATCAAAGCAGAAAAATCCTGGAGATGGCTGTGCCCTCACATTTGTAACTACATATTCTGAATTTAAAATGCTGAGATATCTTCCAGAAGGAGGGAACTCAGAACCTAGCCAGAAGGCAAAGCTTTAATTCACATGCACAAAAATAAGATCAAACCACTTCTTTTACTCCTGTCAGCTGCTGGGATGCTACACGTTAACTGATTGTTTACTGGAATGCAGGGACTCAACTCTTTGTTTACAGCACTGGGAACCACCGATATTCGTACTGGATTATGAAGCAGCCTTCAGGAATAAAATCTAAGAAGAGCTTTTTTTTTTTTCACCGCAGCAGATACTGTGGGAGGCAAAGAGTGGAAAAGGCTTTGCTACCTCCTTCTCCATCAGCACAGAGCAATTTGTGTAGGATAAGCGTAACTTAATAGAAATATCTGCAGTGACTTTTAGGATTTCTTTAAATAATGCTTTACGTAAACCCCCGGAAACCTGCAGAAATACTGAAGTCCTATCAAAGTCGGTGGGTATCTTTTGTGGGCAATGAGGTGAAGAAGCTTAAACAGAAGGATGTGCACTGAAAGAAGAAAAGCGGGGGGAGGGGGAGAGACGGCAGGGTTTTTTCCAACATCTTCCCAAAGACAAGCTCTCAGAAACTGTCGTCAACTCCAAGCGAACAGCTATTTTTAGCCTGTCATTGTTTGTGCCTTTTTTTAGGAATGAAAAAAGCAGTCGTGTTTAGAGCTAGATACTGCTCTATGATGTATTCTAAGTCAGCTACTTAATTTGATCCCCGGCTCCATCTGTCATACAAATTAAGTAATTAGTAATCACAACTGTCTTTGGCACAAGCAATGACTTCCAGAACAAAAGAGACGAACCCTCTTCTTAAATCTAATTCTGCAGCTTCTATTAGTAATTAAACTGGGGTCTATGTGCCATAGTTCAAAAAACCAGGATATCCCAAAGTTATGAGAGTTCATAATCCACCCAGTAAGCTAAAACAGAGCAATATATTGCTCTGCAAAGGCACGGAAGAATTAATTGATGGATTTTTCTGACTGTCTTCAAGTGAAGAGAAAGACATCATGGTGTATTTTGCTGTACAGTACATTAATGAATAAAATTTAGTATCCAAGTCACTGGAAAAAAAACATCACAGATCTTGGGGAATTGTGATCCACTGGAGAAATGCAATTCAAAAAGCAAAGATGAATGGATACACGGTCCCAAACAGCGAGACAAGACTCAGGCAAACATGTGGCTGCATGTGAAAATCAAATGCAAGTCTCTTTTCTGCCAAAGGAATTATGCAGGGTTTCAGTCAGCAAAATAACTTTCTACTTCATGATTCTAAAAAGTTAATGTTTTTGTATTTAGGCAAACAAACCCAATGTGAGGAAAATGGGGATCTGACAAATAGAAAGCAGAGCTGTGTAACTATATGACTCCCAAGCGGTAACCTGTGCAAAAGACTTCAGATACATTTAGGAAAACAAGAAGTAATGCAGTCCCAGGGTCTTCACTCAGGATAATCTCTCATGACTTCTAACTGTCTGGGAGAAGAAGTTATCTAGGAAATTACAGAGCCTGGCCCTCATGACACCATACCAGTGAAAAGGGAAGACTCCCAGCCATGCCTCCTATAATAACCGTGGGGCATTTGAGAATTTGATGGAAAATTGAAACCTCTGTACAAGCCAGCTAGGTATTACTTTGATAGCAGACCAACTTAACACTTTTAGCAGGGGCTACTTCAGGTAATCTACAAAAGCAGAGCCCTGAAGGATTTGCTCACCTGCCAAAACATAGAGTATTGAAGCAGTCTAATGTTTAAAGGCAGCGTTCTCATCAAGGAACACGCAGTATTTTATTATGACTAGTAGCTGCTCAAAAGCATCACATATTGGTGCTATTTTCTGCCCTTGACACACTGGCGATAACAGTGAGATAGGAACAACCTTGCCCGAGCTTGCCAGACCTGCCAGAAATAGCATTTCAGGTGCTCAGGTCCTCTTTAAACAGGATACTACAGGGAAGAACCCCATGGATGAAAGAGGTTACTCCATTAAAAAGAAAATGTAGGTCAGGCATGAAAACATTAGCGAGACAGTAGTCCAAAAGAGCCACACTACACACCCTCTTTAAAAAGATCCGACTCACGACCTCAATATTCTTAGATGACAGAAACCGCTGGAGCCTTTGTCTTGAGCTGTCAAATTTCACCTTTCTTTCTACTCCTGTGCCAAAGAAGGGTAAAAGGCAGCACTTGCAAGGGAATCCTGTTGTCTGTGGAGCTTCAAAGGGAGAGAAGCCTGTGCTGCCCTGGTGGGCCTTGATCTCAGGAGGACACGAGGGCAAGTGAGGTGGGGACAGGCCTATAGCTGCAATTCAGTGGCAGCAGAATGAAAAAGCACTGTCACTGCCCAAAGAAGAGTGATAGGAACTAGTAGCAGTAGCAGTAGCAGTAGTAGTAGTAGTAGCAGTAGTAGTAGAGATGGCGTATTGCCATTATATGCTGATACTGTAGCCAAGGTTCCCCATTGTGCTACGGTGTTATTCAAGGACAAGGAAAACAGTACGTGGAAGACGTCACAGAAAAACAAACTGTACTGGAGAGTAATATTTTCATCCTTGGCAATCTAATAATTTTCGAGGTTGTTCCCAGGCGTTGTGGAAACAGGAATATTTTAGAGGAGAGGAACAATAAAAAGAGTAGACTTCTTCAGTATGCTGAAGAAAGTGATGCTCTCCAGTGTTTGCACCACAGTGCAAAGTGCCTCACTACACTTAAGCAGCACATTTGTTGGTAAATATTATAAAATGCTTTTTAAAATCTTCCTGCAATGATGGGTGCATTTCTCTCTCTCTTTGCAGTGATGCTGGTGCAGCCATGGCACCATGGCTACAGTCATGCTCTATCACACCCTGCTTTTGTACACTGCAGTGATACCACCCATGCAGGACTCTAGCCCTGTATTGATTAAATATATCTGATTTCAGCACACGAGCTTTAAATTGGAAGGATTTTACTCCTTTCCCCATTTCCAAGATTTTAAACTGTCATGAAAATGTGATTTTCCACACCTACAGGAAGTTCATTATGTTAAAAATCTCTGCATCTGGGGATGGAATAGTGAAGAAAGCACTGATACAGACCACAGGTCTTGGGTGCTGTAGGGTCAATGGTTTAAGATGGAAAAATACAGCTGACTCCTAGAGTGGATTGAGCCTATGGGGCACCTGGAAACACATAAAGAAAGGAGACTCTGGATCAAAAGCTACAACTTGCAAGAACATTTTCTTAGGCTTTCCTTTCTAAACGCAACAGTAAATTTAGTAAAATGTAACAGACAGAGGAACTAAATCAGCATTTTGAGCTCTGAAAATCTTTAAACTTTCAGAAACAAACAAAAAAAAGGCTGAAGCAAACTCCCCTTGCCAGTATTGTAAACATCTCTCTGGCACCCCGGCATTCTGAAGGAAAAGTTGCTGAGTCAAATTTTCTTCCTCACTTTCAGGCCAGTAAATAGCAAAGATCTTCCTCTGGGCTCATTTAACTGAAGCCACAGCTTTCCTGAAAACATTCTGTTTCCTTTCTTTTTTTTTTTTTTTTTTTCCTGCAAAATCTTGCTAAGACTCTCTAATTCCTGAGCATTTAATACTTTTCTTCATAATGTCCCAGCCTTCTGCTTTCTGTCCTGTGGTTGCATAGAAGAATGTTTTGATGTGAAATAAGAGAAAAACATAAAAGTTACTTAGAAAATATTCCTTCTTTATATTGAATTTATATATATTTTATGATCAAAGCTGTTGTGGTTACTATTTCAAAATAGAGCTATAAAAGTGTATGTAATAAGCAAATTTGAAGAAGGTATATGGCCAAATAATAAGTAAAAAATGATTGAAGATCCTGTGACTCTTTTCTCTCTGTGTCTTTCTCAGTAAATGTCTCTTCACTGCTGCCAATGATCCTAAAACTGAAGATGGCAAAACAAAAAACAGGTTCAGAAGGAAGGAACTGGACAGAGTTTCATGAAGCTTCTTGGGTTACTCATAGTCCCAACGGTAGCACTGAGCTCTGCTCTCTTGTGACAGCAACTGAGCTTGATGGAACAGAATGGAGCTGCATCTGGGGAGGGTCAGGTGGGGATTAGGGAAAGGTTCTTTAGCAGAAGACAGTGGGCATGGAACAGGCTGCCAGTGCAGTGGGTCCCAAGTTGCTGGAGTTCCAGAAGCATTTGGGCAGTACTCTCAGATATGGGATTTGGATTTGGAGTTGTCCTGTGTGGAGCCTGGGGTTGGACTCAGTGATCCTTGTGGGTCCCTTCTAACTTGGTATATCCTATGATTTTTCCTCTTTTGTGCCTATAACGTGTGGAT